CATATACGAAGAAGTCATGACAAAACATTTACGATGAAATCATGACAAAACATTTACGAAGAAGTCTTGACAAAACATATACGAAGAAGTTTTGACAAAGTCTTTACGAAGAAGTTTTGACAAAGTCTTTACGAAGAAGTTTTGACAAAGTCTTTACGAAGAAGTCTTGACAAAGTCTTTACGAAGAAGAAGTTTTGACAAAACATATACGAAGAAGTCATGACAAAACATTTACGATGAAATCATGACAAAACATTTACGAAGAAGTCTTGACAAAACATATACGAAGAAGTTTTGACAAAGTCTTTACGAAGAAGTTTTGACAAAGTCTTTACGAAGAAGTTTTGACAAAGTCTTTACGAAGAAGTCTTGACAAAGTCTTTACGATGAAGTCTTGACAAAACATATACGAAGAAGAAGTCATGACAAGTCTTTACGAAGAAGTTTTGACAAAGTCTTTACGAAGAAGTCATGACAAAACATTTACGAAGAAGTCTTGACAAAGTCTTACGATGAAGTCTTGACAAAGTCTTTACGAAGAAGAAGTCTTGACAAAGTCTTTACGAAGAAGAAGTCTTGACAAAGTCTTTACGATGAAGTCTTGACAAAGTCTTTACGAAGAAGAAGTCTTGACAAAGTCTTTACGAAGAAGAAGTCTTGACAAAGTCTTTACGAAGAAGAAGTCTTGACAAAACATATTACGAAGAGAAGTCATGACAAAGTCTTTACGAAGAAGTTTTGACAAAGTCTTTACGAAGAAGAAGTCTTGACAAAGTCTTTACGATGAAGTCTTGACAAAGTCTTTACGAAGAAGAAGTCTTGACAAAACATATACGAAGAAGAAGTCATGACAAAGTCTTTACGATGAAGTCTTGACAAAGTCTTTACGAAGAAGAAGTTGACAAAACATATACGAAGAAGAAGTCATGACAAAGTCTTTACGAAGAAGTTTTGACAAAGTCTTTACGAAGAAGTTTTGACAAAACATATACGAAGAAGAAGTCATGACAAAGTCTTTACGAAGAAGTTTTGGACAAAGTCTTTACGAAGAAGTCTTGACAAAACATATACGAAGAAGAAGTCATGACAAAGTCTTTACGAAGAAGTTTTGACAAAGTCTTTTACGAAGAAGAAGTCTTGACAAAAACATATACGAAGAAGAAGTTTTTGACAAAACATATACGAAGAAGTCATGACAAAACATATATGAAGAAGAAGTCATGACAAAGTCTTTACGAAGAAGAAGTCTTGACACAAAACATATACGAAGAAGAAGTTTTGACAAAACATATACGAAGAAGTCATGACAAAAACATATACGAAGAAGAAGTCATGACAAAAGTCTTTACGAAGAAGTTTTGACAAAGTCTTTACGAAGAAGAAGTCATGACAAAGTCTTTACGAAGAAGTTTTGACAAAACATATACGAAGAAGTCTTGACAAAGTCTTTACGAAGAAGTCTTGACAAAGTCTTTACGAAGAAGTTTTGACAAAGTCTTTACGATGAAGTTTTGACAAAGTCTTTACGAAGAAGAAGTCTTGACAAAACATATACGAAGAAGAAGTCATGACAAAGTCTTTACGAAGAAGTTTTGACAAAGTCTTTACGAAGAAGTTTTGACAAAGTCTTTACGAAGAAGTCTTGACAAAACATATACGAAGAAGAAGTTTTGACAAAACATATACGAAGAAGTCTTGACAAAACATATACGAAGAAGTCTTGACAAAACATTGACGAAGAAGTCTTGACAAAACATATACGAAGAAGTCATGACAAAGTCTTTACGAAGAAGTTTTGACAAAGTCTTTACGAAGAAGTTTTGACAAAGTCTTTACGAAGAAGTCTTGACAAAACATATACGAAGAAGAAGTCATGACAAAGTCTTTACGAAGAAGTTTTGACAAAGTCTTTACGAAGAAGAAGTCTTGACAAAACATATACGAAGAAGAAGTCATGACAAAGTCTTTACGAAGAAGTTTTGACAAAGTCTTTACGAAGAAGTCATGAAAAAACATTTACGAAGAAGTTTTGACAAAGTCTTTACGATGAAGTCTTGACAAAGTCTTTACGAAGAAGTCTTGACAAAACATATACGAAGAAGAAGTCATGACAAAGTCTTTACGAAGAAGTTTTGACAAAGTCTTTACGAAGAAGAAGTTTTGACAAAGTCTTTACGAAGAAGTCTTGACAAAGTCTTTACGAAGAAGAAGTCTTGACAAAACATATACGAAGAAGAAGTCATGACAAAGTCTTTACGAAGAAGTCTTGACAAAGTCTTTACGAAGAAGAAGTCTTGACAAAACATATACGAAGAAGAAGTTTTGACAAAACATATACGAAGAAGTCATGACAAAACATTTACGATGAAATCATGACAAAACATTTACGAAGAAGTCTTGACAAAACATATACGAAGAAGTTTTGACAAAGTCTTTACGAAGAAGTTTTGACAAAGTCTTTACGAAGAAGTTTTGACAAAGTCTTTACGAAGAAGTCTTGACAAAGTCTTTACGATGAAGTCTTGACAAAACATATACGAAGAAGAAGTCATGACAAAGTCTTTACGAAGAAGTTTTGACAAAGTCTTTACGAAGAAGTCATGACAAAACATTTACGAAGAAGTCTTGACAAAGTCTTTACGATGAAGTCTTGACAAAGTCTTTACGAAGAAGAAGTCTTGACAAAGTCTTTACGAAGAAGAAGTCTTGACAAAGTCTTTACGATGAAGTCTTGACAAAGTCTTTACGAAGAAGAAGTCTTGACAAAGTCTTTACGAAGAAGAAGTCTTGACAAAGTCTTTACGAAGAAGAAGTCTTGACAAAACATATACGAAGAAGAAGTCATGACAAAGTCTTTACGAAGAAGTTTTGACAAAGTCTTTACGAAGAAGAAGTCTTGACAAAGTCTTTACGATGAAGTCTTGACAAAGTCTTTACGAAGAAGAAGTCTTGACAAAACATATACGAAGAAGAAGTCATGACAAAGTCTTTACGATGAAGTCTTGACAAAGTCTTTACGAAGAAGAAGTCTTGACAAAACATATACGAAGAAGAAGTCATGACAAAGTCTTTACGAAGAAGTTTTGACAAAGTCTTTACGAAGAAGTTTTGACAAAACATATACGAAGAAGAAGTCATGACAAAGTCTTTACGAAGAAGTTTTGACAAAGTCTTTACGAAGAAGTCTTGACAAAACATATACGAAGAAGAAGTCATGACAAAGTCTTTACGAAGAAGTTTTGACAAAGTCTTTACGAAGAAGAAGTCTTGACAAAACATATACGAAGAAGAAGTTTTGACAAAACATATACGAAGAAGTCATGACAAAACATATACGAAGAAGAAGTCATGACAAAGTCTTTACGAAGAAGAAGTCTTGACAAAACATATACGAAGAAGAAGTTTTGACAAAACATATACGAAGAAGTCATGACAAAACATATACGAAGAAGAAGTCATGACAAAGTCTTTACGAAGAAGTTTTGACAAAGTCTTTACGAAGAAGAAGTCATGACAAAGTCTTTACGAAGAAGTTTTGACAAAACATATACGAAGAAGTCTTGACAAAGTCTTTACGAAGAAGTCTTGACAAAGTCTTTACGAAGAAGTTTTGACAAAGTCTTTACGATGAAGTTTTGACAAAGTCTTTACGAAGAAGAAGTCTTGACAAAACATATACGAAGAAGAAGTCATGACAAAGTCTTTACGAAGAAGTTTTGACAAAGTCTTTACGAAGAAGTTTTGACAAAGTCTTTACGAAGAAGTCTTGACAAAACATATACGAAGAAGAAGTTTTGACAAAACATATACGAAGAAGTCATGACAAAACATTTACGATGAAATCATGACAAAAGGTAAAGGATATGATGTTAAAGACGACGTTAAGTTTGCTATAAATTGTTTCTGGAGTAACACTGAGGGAGAAGGAAACCATACACATTTCGTTTCAGGATATACGCAAACAACGGGACAAAGTAAAGACTACATGCCACCTTACATGACAGTTTACGCATGGTATAGAATTGCTTAGTCGTCATTTTCAACTTCTTTAGCATATTCGTCAGGAGTTGTCTTATATTTGTTAGGAACTGTCTTTGAAAGTATACCACCTTGAACTTTGACAAGTTTGAAACGAGGTCTGGCAATAGTAGTTTTATTTCTGCTTGCAGTCTGTACATTTTGCCATGTTTGCCTAAACTTCATAATATTCTCTTGTATACTTTCTTCTATTTTTACGAACACGAATGTGAGTACCTGTCGGGTTCCCATTGTTGTCATAGTCAATAGTATTTTCATATGGGTCACGTTTAGGTATTTCTATTTTTACTTTGTCACCTTTCTGAAGTTTGAAGCCCGGCATTTTTCTTGTTTGTCTCTTTTGACTAAATTATTAAATATATAGTCTTTCTCTAAGTCAGGGTTGTTTTTCATTTCTTCGGGGGAATGGTTTCCCAAACCTTTTTGTTTACGGCTATTGTAAATATTTAAAACTTGTCTCATCTTTGCCATGGAGAAGTGTCTATATTTGTCGTCATATGACATTTCATTTGCTTCACCACCTTGTGGTTGGTTTAAGTCTCTTAACATTTTTATACAACCGTCAATGACACCAAGAGCAGAATGGTTTTGGTCGACAATGAAATATTGGTTTACATTTTTTTGAACGCAGATAGTTTTTAATATCGTCTGATTTGAAAGAACTTTCACAGTCAGATGTTAGTTTTGTTGGATGGTATTTGTCAACGAATATTGTCAAAGCTGCTAAGATATCTAAAATATTTTTGGACTGTAATGGTATGGCTTCACAGTATCTTGTGTTTTGACCGACAAATATTAGCCAGTATGGTGGTCCATCTTCTCTATACCTCGAATGTTTTCCAAGATATCCATAAACCAAGCATTTGGTGTTGAACTAAAGATTTTTACCATGAGTGCTTTCTTTGTCGCTTTAGAAACATAGGGGTCCTTGTTCGGATTCGTCATTTTTTACCCTATAAGAAATGGGTTTATTTGGCGCATTAGCAGGAGTTGCATCCAGATTTTTGCCCGCAGTTGGAACAATAGCCAGAGGTGTATTTGGAGTTGGAAGGAAGATTTTGAGTACATTAGGTATACTTAAAGAGAAAGCACAACCTATTATACAAACTGTACAGAAAGGTTGGGATGTAGCACGAGATGCAACAAATCTTATTCCAAATCCTGAAACAAGAGGAAAAGTTCAAGGATGGATGGACAATGTAGGAAGACAAGCAGGAAACTATTATAACAAAGCAAATGACTACTATAACCAAGCAGGACACTATATGGACCAAGGTGAAAGATTCTTTAACAGAGGATATAACCATGCACAACAGTGGGTAAACAATAACCAACCGCAACCGCCTCAAACGTGGGGAATGTAAAGTTTTTTATTGAGATGAAATGAACAATGCAGCATTGAGACAAATGGGTTCAAGATGGATTTGTCGACTTCCAGCAGTTACACAACGTGTTTGTCAAGTTCTTCCTATACCTCAGGAAGTTTTAGACCGACTTAAAAAACAACAACAACCAGTTGAAAACAAACCAAACTAAAGTTTTTTACTGAGATGAAATGACCGAAGAAGTTGAAACGGTAGATTTGACACCACAAACAAAAAGTTCAGAACCATTGTCAAAACCTGTCAAAGAACTTACAGATGAAGAGAAAAATTCAATAATAGAAAGTGCCAGGTCTGGAAATACAAACCCTAACTACAAAGTCACTTTTCATAAAAATGGAACGGCTAGTATCTCAAAAAAGAAACAGACTCTCACAAATAAAATATTGAAGTCTGAAGGAGCTTTCGAGACAACAGATGGAAAAGTTTACTTCACTGACCAACAGTTCATTATAGAACATCTCATTGACTTAGAGTCGAAATATTCTAAACTTTACAACAAACACAAAAAGTTGAAAGGAAAACAAAAACAAATGGCATATGATATTTATGAAGATGTTGACGACACAACTATTCCTGCAAGTGAGGTAAAGTCAAAGGAACCGAAAAGTGACGAAAAACCGATAGAAGAAGAGAAACCAAAAACTGAAGATAAACCAAAACCAAAGTTTAGTTTCCAAACTAAACCAAGTCAACCTTCATTAGCTGGTATGGGTTGGCGTCAAAGACTTATGGTAGCGGGCGGTTATGTAAAGTAAAGAGAAAAAAATATTTTTTTATTTTATTTGAAATGTACGCTGAGTTTGTTGGAGAAGACCGTTGGGAAACTTGTTTGTTAGATGAGAAATATGAAATTCACTGTTGTGAGTCATTTGAAGTCAGAAACAAAAAGACAAAAAGAGTTTTAAGCGAATGGGAGCAAAATAACGGATATGCTATGATGAAGATGGGTGGGAAACGCTATTTTAAACATGTTGTCATTGCAACTCATTTTATACTGAATCCTAACAATTTACCTTTTGTAGACCATATAAACCGTATAAGAAACGACAATAGACTTGAAAACTTACGTTGGGTCACTCGTTCTGAAAACAATAAGAACAAAAGCAAAATTGGAGATATTGTATTCGAATTTGTCGACGAACTAGAAGATGAAACAATTGAAATTACAGACTATGGCAAGCATACGTTTGAGTTTTACTACTATAGCGAAGAACAAGACTCTTTCTACTTTTATACCGGCGTAAACTATAGGAAATTACAAGTATATTTTACTAAGGCGGGCTATGCTTATGTAAACACTAGAGATACAGATGGAAAATACGGTCAAATACTTCTTAACAAATTCAAGAAGCTATATGGCATACCATTTTAAACCATATATTTTTACATATATTAAATGCTTCAGGTTGAAAAACAAAGAACAAAAGTAGCAGATACAAAACCGTTAGACTATATCTTTACAAATGCTGGTAGGACTATTTCAGATGAGGAAATTTCATCCCGAGCTTACAGGTTTGACTATCCAATTCGTTGGCTTCAAAGTCCTTCAGATGCAAAGGCAATAGGATTTAGAAGAGTTTTGTTTTCAAATAGAACTAACGCGTTTATGTTCGCAGTATATTTTCATGGGCAGTATAAAGGTTCTGATGGTCTAAATAGACAAATTTGATGAATGAGAATCTTTACAGTTCGTTCAGACGAAAGTCTTGAGAAAACTCTAAATGACTTTCAAACTCAAATAAACAAATATTATTGGGAATTTCAAGAAAAATACGAACTCTTTACTAAATGGAACATACTATCTGAAACTAGAATATTGACAAGATGAACTCCACCGTTTCATTTCAAAAGATTGAAATTAACCCTCCAAGAGATACGGAGTTTTTATTTTGGGGAGTAGACAAACGTTCTTGGGCACAATTTCTTCGGTTACTAAACCAGAACGAACCATTACCACCAGATGGTCCATTTCATTTATACTTCCCCAGCAGATTTGACAGTTTATAGAAAACGTGTTTGACCCTCAAAATGTTATGTGTCATGCAAGTTTCAGTTCAAGCAACAATAGTTTTCTATGTATTGGTAAGGACGTTTTATGACTTTGCTTCTAAATTCTACGAACCACCTAGTAACAGTTTCTCTGACTTTCAAGTTTGGTTCACAACAAATGGTGTGCAACATATAATACCATTGTACTATGACTTTTATCTCGAATTGTCTTTCATATACAACTACGGAAAAGTGCTGAAAAAGTATTGAAAAATATATTTTAGGGTAGAAGGTTAGATCTAACCTGTTTTCTAACCTGTTTTCTACCCTCTTGAATTTTCATGAATTTCCTTAAGATAGAAAAAAAGTGAGTTAAAATGAGATGTTTACTGAGGGGGTCCCTCGGTCCCTCGGTCCCTCGGTCATTTTAACTTCTCTGAAAAAGTGTGACAACATGACATTTTGACAACAGTCGGGAAAATGTCAAGACTTCTTCATCGTAAATGTTTTGTCAAACATGTACGTAAATGTTTTGTCATGACTTCTTCATCGTATTCTTTCACCCGTTGAATTTTGTATAAAAAGCAACCCGCGGAATTCCGGCGGTTGGTATATTCTTCACAAAATGCTTGTTTTGTCAAGACTTCTTCGTAAATGTTTTGAAGAACTGAAGGTGTCACCAGGTCCCTCGGTCCCTCGGTCCCTCGGTCATTTTAACTTCTCTGAAAAAGTGTGACAACATGACATTTTGACAACAGTCGGGAAAATGTCAAGACTTCTTCATCGTCAATGTTTTTGTCATGACTTCATCGTATATGTTTTGTCAAGGTTTCATCGTACATGTTTTGTCAAGACTTCATCGTATATGTTTTGTCAAGACTTCTTCGTATATGTTTTTGTCAAGGTTTCATCGTATATGTTTTGTCATGACTTCATCGTAATGAGCGTAAAGGACCCAAAAATAAAGTTTAGGTGAAGAGGTGCGATCTCACCTCCTTTTTCACCTGTTTTTTCACCCGTTGAATTTTCATGACTTCTTCATCGTATATGTTTTGTCATGACTTCATCGTATATGTTTTGTCAAGGTTTCATCGTAAATGTTTTGTCAAGACTTCTTCGTATATGTTTTGTCAAGGTTTCATCGTAAATGTTTTGTCATGACTTCTTCATCGTAAATGTTTTGTCATGACTTCTTCATCGTAATGAGCGTAAAGGACCCAAAAATAAAGTTTAGGTGAAGAGGTGCGATCTCACCTCCTTTTTCACCTGTTTTTTCACCTCTTGAATTTTCATGACTTCTTCTTCGTATATGTTTTGTCAAGACTTCTTCGATTATGTTTTTGTCAAGACTTCTTCGTATATGTTTTTGTCAAGGTTTCATCGTAAATGTTTTGTCAAGACTTCTTCGTACATGTTTTGTCATGACTTCATCGTATAAAAAGCAACCGCCGGAATTCCGGCGGTTGGTATATTCTTCACAAAATGCTTGTTTTGAGGTCGAGCCACTTTTGGCTCCACCGTATTTTTCAACCAAAACTCATGAATTTTCCCGAAATAAAAAATAAAGTTAGTTTTTTTAAAAAAATATTTTTTATTTTTATTGTAAGAACATGTTAGCAACAACAGCACCAAACTCGTTAGTCATGAATCCAACATCTATGTTAGTAGAAATGAAAAGCTTCATTCCTTCTTCATATACTTTCGAAACAGAAATCCAGAAGATAAAGCAGGAACTTCTCCAAGGAGATTTAGATTGCACTGCAAAAGATGAAACAAATGAAGAATATCTTTACGACATGCAGGACATTATTGACCATTTACCCAAATTGCCTGAAATCCAACAACAAAAGCTTACTATTCCAGAATTCGATGAAATAGAAGTCAAAGCAACTGACTCAGTAGAAATAAAGAAGTTCATACGAAAGGTTAACTATGAGTTTCTTGGATTTCATTGCAACCACAAAGTCATGGACAAAGATTGCGACATGGTATATAAGAACATCTCTGACATATATAAATCTGAAGAATTTAAGACCTACGACAACTTTGTTTCGTTAGTTGCTGAATGTGTATGGCAGATAAGAGATAAAGATAAAAGATGTAAAATATGGAACAAACAAATAAAACCAGCAGCTTTTGAGTTAAAGAAAACCATTGACGCCTTAGTTGTTTTAGCAGGTAAGGTTTCAGAATATAACGCAAAAATGAACCCGCAATGTTCTAAATGTAAAGCAGCAATGAGGAGATATAACTACTCCGTCAAAGAGATAGAAAGAATGAGAAACGACTATGCTGACTTAAAGAAAGAAGCAGAGAAACCAGCAGAAGATAAAATGGACATGTTAGCATTTCTGAACAAAAACTATCCAACAGCAGAAGATTTCCTTCTATCTGACGTCAAGAAGAAGTATAAAGATACATTCAATATTGTGAAAACTTTTGATATCCTTCGTGAAGAAATAGAAGCTACAAAACTGTTTAGAGTCTCACGAATTCATAACGTTTACCATGTAAAACGCTTGTGAAAAAAACAGGTGAGAAAAGAGGTGAGATCGCACCACTTCACCTAAACATTATTTTTTGCTGAATTCAGCACAAATTTCATGAGTTTTGTATGTTTTAGACCATGTGAAAAAACAGGTTAGAAAACAGGTTAGATCTAACCTTCTACCCTAAAATATATTTTTGTCTGATTTACACTCATTTCGATGAAATCATGACAAAACATTTACACTCATTTCGATGAAATCATGACAAAACATTTACGAAGAAGTTTATTTCCTGTGTTGTTGTCAAAATGTCATGTTGTCACCATTTTCAAAAAGATGT